AAACACACAAGATGTCGGCCCTCCCAGACAGACTTTGGGCTCCACTCGGTGTGGATGCCTTCACAGATCCTTTCATCATGTTAGACAGGCGGAGAAACATGCAGATTCCGATTCATGGAAGGAGCAAAGCTTGAACAGAAAAATGGAGGACGTCATGCATCAGCCTGTGAAAGTGTTTATGTCAGCGCTTTAGACAAACAGATGTTTAAATATCTACAACAAAAACCAGAGAAATGATTTCACCTTTTTGTAAAATGCTAATTCTGGTGAAAATAGGATAACTTCCTATTTTCCTTTGTAAAACTAAATGGCTAAAATTTGGGTTATGTGGCGAGTCACAAGAAAAAAGAATGTTCTGCTCATTGTTCATCATATTTTCACCATGTTATTCTTTCATTTATAAATGTTTGTAACAGTTTCAAGTTAAATATTTAATTAGCAAGCTAGCTATTTAGCTTCCAAACTAAATATTCACATTACAAACTAAATATTTTACTGTAAGCTAGATATTTAGTTTCCAAGCCAAACATTTAGCTTACTAATGAAATATTTAATGTGAAACTGACATTTATGAATGAAAAAATAACATGGTGAAAATCTGGACCACCATTTTTTTCTCTTATTAGTTAAGCATATTGGAAAAAAAAATTTTAATAAATTGATAGCACTATTAAATTCACACAAGTAGAAGCAAATGTATCTGTTTCATCGTTTGTTTCACCTTTTGGCAGCCGGAGCTCACTGGTTACTACTGGTCACTCGCTGTTGTTACTGTGTGGATTTGGTGAGCGGGTCCGGGGGCAGACGGGCTCAAACAGGATGTGACACGCTTTGTGCAGATGACCTGCTGAGCTTCATGGACAATGACCAGCAGGGATCAGATCCTTATCATGGGGGGCTTGAAGCAAAAATCCCACAAATGACACAAAGTATTCACACCTTTAAACTTCCTGCTTATTCCACCAAATATCAACGTCTCAACTCTTCCTGAGTCAAAACTTTAGCGTTGCTGTTTCCAAATGACTGTGATCTTGTTTTCTTTGCATTATTTGAGGTCTGAATGCTCTGCATCTTGTTTTGTTTCTCTGACCTTTTTTTATTTTCTGCAAATGAATATTTGCTTGAAATTTCAGAGACATGTCAGTAGTTCATAAAGTGAAAAAACAATGTTTATTTATACTCAAACATATATCAGTAAATCTGAGAAACTGGTGAAATATATGTACAGATATATGTATGTATATGTTACATATGTGGTACCACTATTTTTAACAGTAGCTCTGCCACTGCAAACAGGAGACGGTTTGATTTATTCAATGTTCAGGGGCATTTCCACATCATGAGTGTGAATTTCATGGCAGCTTGCTGTAGAACCAGAGCTCAGCTCCAGCTCAGACGGTTGTTATGTCTGCGTCAGTCCAGCCTTTGGGCTGCAGCCTAACACAGCTGCCCCGCCCCAGTCATAGCCCCGCCCCCCTACATGACTTCAGCATGTGGAGGGGGGAGGGCATGAGCTGTAACCTGGTGCATGTGGAGTGTGAGATAATGCTGTCCTCTCACAGCACACACTGTTGATAATGGTGTTTAACGACGTTGAGGTAAACCTCAGGGCTTTGCCTGCTAAAGCAACACGTTGATCCAAATCTTCATGCAAATCCAGCTAAAAGAATCTGTGGCACGGATTCTGTTACCTGTACAGAGTGACCAGTCACCTTCATGAAAATTACAGAGATAGTTTATTACTGTAAACACCACAAATGAGTCTGTCAGAGTGTAATACATAGACCAGTGAAGAAAATTAATATGTTATGAATCTGCAGCTGGAATGTTGCTGCAGGTCCTCATCAAACTTTAAAGTTTGTCTTTTGTTGGGTGACAGAATTTATTGGAGCTGCACAGCCCACAGAGCTAACATCCTGATTCTGCCAAGAGCAAACAATGAGCATTACTGCTTTATTGACCGATGTCCTGTGCAATCTGTTAGAGCCAAATTGAAAAACTGAGACCTTATGAGGTTCCTTCTCCGGTTATCTCGTGCCAGACACACGTTTCAGAGCTGCTGCAGCTCACCACTGCCGATGTGGTTAACCCTGGCACACATCTGGCTTCTCTGCAGCAGCACTCATGCAACTGCATGCAGGTCGTCGCCTTGCAAATCCACTGATTAACTTCAGTTTCCTCTGAAGCAAAAATTCTGCGGCTTCTTTTGACAGAAATGACAACACATTTCAAAACTTAAACGGCAACAAATTCAAATTTCACAAACCTCTTTGAAGAAGCAACGCTACATATTTTAGCTTTCTGACAGGAGCTCACTGTTGTTACTGTTAGCAATGATATCATTTCATCTCTCATGTTACTGCACAGCCTTTTTCTGGCTTTCTGTTTTCAGGTTTTCTATTCCAGTCATTCCAGGTGAAGAAAAATACAACTATGTTACAAGTACAAGGTGATAATTATCTTGTACATTTAAACACAAACAAACACGGCAAATGTTTGAGATATAAACTGTTGGAACTACAGTCCAGCAATATTTCTACCAGGAAACAATGAGACAATCTAAATTGCTTTTCCATGTGCAATTTAGATATTTGTTTGAAGTTTGCATTTTTAATAACATTTTCAACATACGAATGTTAAAACTAAAACAGGGAGGAGCCAGAAACTGTGCTTTGAGCGACTCCTGTGTTTATTCTTTAAATAACTCAGTAGGTTGGCAGCCATGTTGGAAATCCAGGTCTTGGGCGGTGAGGTCCCCCATCTTAGTAAATTATCTAGAAATACATTTGACTTTAGGGAGCTTTGCAGTTAAGTTTTTTTGGAAGTTTTGTCTTCCAAGTAACAAAAAGGACACAAAAAAAATCGCCCAAAAAAACTTACTTGCTCAGTCGGTCTGCTGAGCAAGAAGAGGCAATCTCAGGTGCCATCCTCACTCCAAGTTCTTTGCAAAGGCCTCGTGGCTGTTGGTGGAAGTTTTGCATATATTTTTATTTGCAAATCAGTTCTATGTTTAGACATGGCTGGTCAGGAATCTCCAGCTTGTTGAGATGCTGATCTGAGCTGAGGAGGTTTGGGAGTTGAGTTTTCCATGACAGGAATGGAACATTCTTATTTCAAGTAAAATTGGAATCCAGGAAAACAGGTGAGTTTCCTAAAATGAGGAGAAACTTTTCCCAGCACACTGTGATCTACTGGCTCCTCCAACGACTGTCTTATACCATCATTGACTGAAGTAAGATTCTAGAAGACCTGATGGGAAATAACAATCAGAAAACTCCAGCCCATCCCACCAAAGTCCTGGTGTTGTTGTTAAATTAGATGAACCTTAAAATGATCAAGTAGTCGGTGTAAAGCAAATTAAGTGAACATATCTTTCTTTAAGTGGTACCACATCAGATCATCTGCTTCGGTCTCATCCAGTCCATTTCCTCTCTTATGTTAGCGCCATATTTAATGAGCTTTGTCCAAGAACCAGAACTTACTGGACAGATAAAACAAACAGATAATAAGAGAGAAAATAAAGTTACTGACATGGAATAGAGAAGGGAACAGAGGAGTGTACAGTTTCTTTCCTCAGACCGTCTGTCTGATGAAGCTTTTGCACTGACTCAACCTCGTCTTCCTCTGTAAGGACTCTGGCTAGCAAAAGTATTCACGCCCTTTGACCTATTGCACGTTTTGTCACATTACAACCACAACACAAAGTGAAATGGTGAAGTGCAAAGAAAATTAGACATGATTCAAACCATTTTGTACAAATGAAAAATTGAAACAGTGGAGCGTGCAAAAGTATTCACCCAGAGTGAATACTTGTCCATCTTTTGCTGCAGTTTCTTTCAGGGTTTGTCTCTGCCAGCTCTGATCATCAGTGAGTCAAATCTGTGAAAAGCAGAGCCTTGCAGGGAGAAGAGGAAGCTTTTGTTTCTGAGCCAATTCTTCAAGTCATCATGTGTGATAAGCAGATTGTACATAGAAATCGTTCCATGGCTATTTTTCCTGGTAAGAGACTAAATATAACATGCATGTTTTAGCGCTATATGTCGCAGCCAAACATTTTAGTTGTGTGAAGTTTTTCCTGTACTAATTTTTGCTTCTTTGTCATCATAATAAATAAACTGACACTTTCTATTAATCTATTTCATGCTCTGACTGCACTGTTACTACAGGTAGCACTATTTAAATGTGACGGGCTCCTTACCATAAATGTGTCTTTTCAATCATAAGCATATCTCACGTCCACCAGAATTATTAATCAGTCATATTTGTGCAAACATAAAAGTAGCGCAGAGCCGTTTCTGACAGACTGGGGAAGTTTCAGAGTGGAAATAGAGTGTTGTTGCACACCACTCACCACCAGCTCAGCCACATCCTCTGAGCCACAGCTTCAGCGAGCGCCGTCAGAGAAAACAAGAACAGAAAGACAGATTAGAGCCTTTGAATAGGCCATGCTTAGACCTGCTTTCAAACTGTAAATAATAGATGTGAATAATGGTGTTTGTAGAGCTTTAGAAAGATCGACGTTCATTCAGCTTCTGTTCACCGTGATGGTAGAAATCGAGCTCATATGTTCATCTCCAGCAATTCAAGACTCAAACCACTTTGGGTGGGAAAAAAAAATTCTGGTGTCTTTGGTTTGGCAGAATAGTTGGAGGAAACTACTGAATGGATCAGAGCCTTTGAATAGGCCAAGCTGAGACCTGTTTCAAAATAAAAGCTTCATAACACCTCAGAGACGCTAAATACCCTAAATATCTGTCAATAATATTACTATTATTAACATTACCAGGATCCTACCTAAAGATCCAAACGGGATCCGACAACCAAAACCTTCCTGATGTTTTTGCTCTGTGTTTACATGTGATCATAGTTTCACTTGCCCACATGGAGCCATGTCCCAAACATTCCTTCCATGGTCAGGGATCAGTTTGATGACCCTCCAACTCAGCCTGGGAACTTCCAGAGATCTTCATGGGAACGCATCATCGCCAAGAGTCGCCTCAGTTTATGCAAAAACTCTTTAATTGGCAGAAATCACAAGAAAACTATTCACATTCACAAACAATAGTTAATAATGTTAAATAAAATGCAAACGCTACATTCTGCTGATCTAAAGGGTCCATGTTTTACTAAGTGCAATTAAAGAGGTCACATAAACATGCTCTAATAATTGATCTGAATCACTAACACATAAAGGGACAAATCATGGAAAAGGTTCATGAATATAAGAATGTATTGGGTTGGTTGGTTGTGCTCCCCCTGCAGGCAGCTCCCTGAAAGTACATCCTGGGAACGCCTGTCACAAAACAAAACATCAATCAATCAATTCATCACATGATAAATTAACATGAACGTGATGATGAGGAATATTTTGTGAAGTGAAATTTTGTTTAATCACCATCCATTTAATTTATGGTTTTGACCATGTGTGGTTTTAATTTTTATTCGTCTTGTTTGTTTTTGGGGGGAACATTTAAAAGCTCTCCCAGTTTATTTATCTTTGAGAGGGCAAACTTGCCTTATTATTATTATTATTATAAGCCATTATCAATACATCATCTGAAAATTGTCTCAAAACAATATTATAGTTTATCCCAATAATTACTGGGGCGATTTATCGACCAGGAAATGTGTTGAAACCATTTCATAGAGGGAGCCAGACTGCAAAGTTTTCAATGACACATTTTTCTCAGGTCATTGTTGTCTACATTGACAGAGTCTCTCTGCACAAGCTCTACTGTGATTTGATAAAAGTCGGTAAACAACTGAAGCAGCCTGGCAAGAAGAGAGGCAGTCATAAAGGCCGCATGAATCCAACATGAAGGTCCTCCGGTCAGATGATGGCAAAATGAATAAAGTTAACTTTTTGTTTTACATGTTGAATGCTACGCATCATAAAACATCCTCCTGAACACACCACCCCCATCAGGAGAATCCTGTGGTGGCAGCATCATGCTGTGGGGAACCAAAACTATAACTGAAGTAAAATGTGGCTTTATTAACTACTATGTTGGAGGGTCTTCACAACACACTTTTTCAAAACAAGTTTTGTAAAATCTTTTGAAAGTCACGTATCGTTGTTCTTCCTCTTCACAACTTGTGCTGTTCTGTCACATAAACTCACAGTGAGATGCACGGAACTCTGTGGTTATAGCATAAATGTAAAACAGCTCAGGAAGTGGAGGTAGTTTTGTGTTGTTTTCCACATAAATATCTATCCTACTTTACCAAACGTGACTCTCTAAACAATAAACCGACTAAACAACCTAAAGAAGTTTATCTTTTGTTGCTCCCCTCCCCCAGAGGAGACCTCGAGAGCCATCTGAAGGACTGACGGTCTCAAAGCTCGTCAACAAAAACGAGGATTTAGCGGCTAATAGGCTGATGATAGCCAGATAACACATTGCAGATACTATTAGACTTATTTGAAGGTTGCGTCATACAAAGATCCAACTGATTAAGAAATCCAGAATTCAAAGTTCACTGCATGACACAAAAACAAGAGACGGGGTGTGAAACTAGAAGTGAAAACCTGAAACCTGAACCAATCATGGAGTGGCTTCTTCCACTTGGAAAAAACAAGACAATACTAGAGATAAACACATCCAGGTTTATATTATTCATAACTATTGGATTGTTGCGACTTCATAAGCACAAAGTTTTCTGGTTGTGGATCGAGCCAAAGTGGCACATTATTGTGAAACGGAAGGACAATGAGACTTTCACACCTCATAGTCTCGGAGACTCAGTTTGTTTGGAGACCAAAGTTGCAACATTTGTTTCTATTTTCAGCAGCTGTGACTCTTTCAGATTGAAAAACCTTCACTATCTTTCAACTAATGAGGGAATATTTTATGAAAGCCCCAGTTTCACAAAATGGAGAGCAGCTGTAACCATCAGTTAATCTTTGCAATGGGATTCAGGTCTGGACTTTGACTAGACCATGCAAACACATGAATTCCTTACATTGGTATTTAGCCTCCATCTTCATCTCTCATCAACTCTAAACAGCAAGGGGGAAAAAAAACAATCATCCCACAGCATGATGCTGCCACTACTATGTTCCAGCAAAAGGATGTTGTGTTCAGGGTATCATGGTAAAGTTTATTATGCACTCCTTTTTTAGATTAATCTCATGAAATACATTGAAGCTGGTGATTGCATTGTAACAAAATGGCATGTGAACGTCAATGTAAGGAAAAAAACAGATGAATCTCCAACTCGACCACTAGATGTCAGTAACTGTTTCCCATTTCAGAAAACAAAACCAAGCTTTTATTGATTAATCGGCTAATTAAAGGCGTTTTTACCTGCAGAGTGACAGAGAGTCAGGTCTGCATCTGCTTTATGGGGCTCCATGGAGACGGATCCTGCTGCATGGCTAAAGTCTGATTCACAAACCTCAGCATCCCGGTCAGTGAGTTTATGTCCATCTCTCCCTCATCGTCTCCCACCAGAGTCTCCTCCGACTCCCTCCTGGACTCGGTGAGCGATTTGTCGTCCCCCTGCGGTCCCGCCTGTCCCTCTGTGCAGACGTCTGTGTTGTTGGGTTTGTCTGGCATGTATGTGAGTGGGTCGAACGAGGCGTCGGATGTCGCCGAGGCCTCGGTGGCGCTGAGGCTCCGCCAGCTTTGGTCAGCCGACCCCGCGAACATGGAACCACTCGCAGAGGAAGAGTCCCACGGCTCCCTGATCAGCACCTCCCTCAGGCTGCGAGGGAGGTCCGTGGAAGAGGATAGGCTGCCACTCTGAGGCCAGTCGGGTGTCGGGGAGAACAGGGGCACCGGTTGAGAGCGTGGAGACAAGCGGACGGAGGCTGGTAAGAGACTAAAGGAAGGAAGAGACGGCTGAGAGGAGAAGGAGGGCTCTGGAAGCTCAGTGAGGGAGGCAGAGTGGCTGCAGAGGCTCTGTCTCTCTGCTACTCGTCCCAGACTGGAGATCCGGGCCTGGAGGCGGGTCACCTCTGACTCCTGCAGCAGGAGGAAATCAGCATGAAACACGTTGGAACAGTCAAAGGCTTCCTGCAGGTTTCAGAAAGTCAAATATAAGACTTCTTATGCCACCTTGAATGAAATTTAAGACAAAAAACCAAAACCTAGTAAAATAAGAGGTTACTGTAATATCATCAGCATAGCACTTAAGTAGCTCATGGTAAGATGTATTTAAGTCCTGTGATTAAAGTACTTAAGTAATTGTTTTTTTTCAAAATGATTTTAAGTCTTGTTAAGGATGCACAGCTGAAGCTTGCACTTCTGGGATAAAGCGTACCTTGATGAGCAGCGAATCGGCGGACATCTCTGCATTCTTCTCCGAGGCTTGCAGCTGAGTTTGGAGCTGGGAAACCTGCGCTCTGCTTTGTTGCAGCTGCGTAGAGAGCAGCTCCAGTTGCACATGGAGGTGGCTGCTCTGTACTCTCGTCTGCTCACACAGAACCCGGCTGTCCTCCAGCTCGGTTCTGCTCTGCAGCAGCTGCTCCTGGCTCTGGTCCAGCTGCGTCTGGAGGTGGCCGACCTGGCTGCGGCTGTAGTCCAGCTCGATCTGGGCCTGGTCCAGCTGGGCTTTGACCCGGCCGCACTGCGCCCTGGCCTCCTCCAGCTGGGCCTGGCTCTGCTGGAGCTTGGTGGTGAGCTGCTCCTGGCACGAGCGCATGGTGGAGGAGATCTGCTCCGACACTTTGAGGAGCTGGCCCCGCGTGTGCTGCAGAGACTCCAACTGCGGATCGACGGAGAGCGGCACGGTCAGGACACAGGGTTCCACAAGTTACAACAAAAACTCAACACAAAAGATACTCTGCTGAAATATGCTGCACAAATAAACTTATGTTAGACACTCAGTTCTAAAGAGAAAATGAAGGTGAATACAAGACAATCATGTATGATCCTACAGTCAGGATTACAATGGGATCATTTGGATTAATTTATGTGATAAGAAGGCTTAGTCAAAGCCCAGACCGGAATTTGAATGACAATCAAAGTCATTATGCTCTCCAGCCGATTTGAAAGAGCCACATCTCCATAAGACTGGAAGGTGGTTCAATAAAGTATTACTTTATTTTTTTATTTAATCATGTAAATTATGCTAATATCTACTTTAATCATATTTACATTCCAGTTTCTCTTTATATAGAATTATTTATCTTTTAAATTTGAAATGTTATGAAATCATGTAATAAGGTGAATGAATGTAAATGAACATCAAAAAACAAACAATTAAAAAAAAACAAACTTAAAACTGTGAATCAGTTTCTATAAGGCAATCCTGTGTATTAGTCAATTACATAAAACTCCAGTAGAAACACATGATGTGAAAAAGTCTCCCTCAGGTAAAAACATCAAGAAGAGGAATAGAAATGAGACAGAACGGAAGCGCGTGAGGAACAACGGTGACCACCGGAGTCACTGCTAACCCACGGCCCAACAGGAAGCACACGGCCTGATGAGACGGAGACTGAAGTTCTCATGAAAAACCGTCGTCATGTCTTCCAGATGACGAGACAATTTCCAAATCTCAAGCATGAAATTCTGAATGTGACCCATGTTATCTAATCGTTAATATAAAACAAAACAAACAAAAAAAAAACACAGCCAATGGTGTTTGACCCCCAGGCAGTGAAGGACCCCACATGTATAGAGAGCTGAGCTCACTCCTTATAGCTGTCTGGTTATTTACCTGGATATCGTCTTAAAGGGGCAGCGTTATGTATTCTCCAGCCACATACTGCCATTTTACAGCACAATGAAGTAACTATTGTAAATTCAGTTATAAAAATGCTATATACATCAAATATGACTTAGAAGAACTTTGACGTAGTGATTAAATGCCTTCAAATTGGGCCACCGTCTCTTTAAAAACTCCCGCTCTTTCTGAAATTCCACTTTCAGGAAGTCATAACAACATGATTCCTCTATTAACCTTTCAACAATATTTTTATCAGCATGGCTCTGATGAGTAGCTCCTATAATGAGCTCAACAGGTGTCTGCTAATTCCTCCTGGCTAGTCTGAAGGAACTGAGTGGCAGAGTTTTGAGGGAGGGTTGCGACGCTCGGCCCACCCAGGTGTTTTGCACAGCTGAATGGTTGCCCCGGGAGACTAAAGGATTTCTCAAACACCCTTGAAAGAATCAAAGCAAAACTAGAGGTATGTTTTGGATGAGGGAATAATATTATTACATGATGTAAAGTTAAAAAAAAGTCAATTTTATAAAATACTGCCCCTTTAAGCTGGAGTCGCCATGTCGACCATGTACAGTCCTGCTTCTTTCATGTTTTGTGTAACTGACTGAATATCTTCATAAATGAATGGAAACGTTCAACATTATACCAGCAGGATCTCCTAAAGTAATTTAACAAAGACAATTTTTATTTCAACACAGATATTTTAATTCCAAATAACAAAACACTTTTTAAACAGAGAGTGTTGAGGTGGAAGGTGTGCAATCGCTCTGGTGTTTTGTTCAATTTAAACTGTTGTTTATGTTGTCAAGCTGTTTGTATGTGTATTTGCTGTTTGTTTGGGCAGCTGCTACTATGCAGTGGACAAATGTCCATATTCTATTCTCTGATGTCAGGAGGAGGGTGGAGGGAAGGGATGGGGTCGGTGTACCTCTTTACTGTGCTGCTCCTTCTCCAGCTCCAGCTCCTGCTCCAGAGCAGAGAGCACGCTCTGCAGACGCTCCTCCTCCTGCAGCCACCCAGACTCCTTCCGAAGCAGCTCCTCCGCTGCGCTGCGCAGCTGGGCCTCCTGCAAAAACACACACACCACAGGGTTTACAGAGCAACACGGAGGGAGGAAGCTGAAGGGAATGGAAAAATGACTCATTCTCAGACTGTTCCAGTTACTCCCAGGGAAACCAACAGCTAACAGCCCCAGAAGTCAGAGCAACATGTGTCTTCACCGTCTCCCTGATCTGCAGCTTGGTGGCGTCCAGCTCTCTGCTCAGAGCGCCACGGTCACGCTGACTCGCTTCCAGTTGGTCCAGCGCCTCCTGAAGCCGATGCTCACACTCAGACAGCTGCTGGCTGAGCTCCTCTGACTCCTAACAGCACAAAAACAGGAGCAGACAAATTGTCAAAGTACAATTCCAGACTTATCAGAAGTGGACTGATAATGATGTGTGTCTTTTTAACTAATAAAGATCTTAAAAGTGATTTTATGTTCAAACGCCCTGTGTGAACGTCTCAGTTACAGCTGAGTGTTTGGTGTTTCTAAAGTGACAGACAGGTGAAAATGGGCAGTGAACACATGAAGGATGCAAACTCCACCCCCCAAAAAGAAAACAACAACAACAACAACAACAGATAATTACAAGAAAAAACAAATTCCACATAAAAACAATGCAAACAAAGAATGCTGCAATCTTGTTGGTAAATACCAACAAGAACAGCAAGTATGAAATGATGCAAACTGGAAGTGCTCCAGACCACTAGGGGAAATCTGGAGCAGGAGGTATAACCTACATAAATACGCTACTGTTGATAATGACATCAAGTATAACTTTCTTTCTTCCTCCAAATGTTCCTGGACATGCTGTTAAATCTTGACATCTGTCTTCACTGAGCGTCTGGTCCGATTTGATTTGGTGGTCGACTCCCCCTAGTGGTCTGGAGTAATGCCGTTCTATGGAACGAGTTTGCAGTTTCATACTTGCTGCCTCTGCTGTATTTGTGCCAGTTTCCCTTTTTCTTTTACTTCCTGTGATTGCAGCATTTTGCATTAGTTTTTGTGCTCATGTGTTTTGGAGTTTGCATCATTTCTGTGTTTCTGTGATCATCCGCTAGGAGGGAAAACGAGTCGGGTTTAGACAAGCCTGAGAGAAGTTAGTAAAACTCTACTGGAATTAAATTATCATTATGAATGTAATTTAAGTTAATTAATATTTTTTTGTATAAAAACTAATAACACTTATTATAAAACCAGCAAAAATGTACTTTTCAAATGACCTTTATGCTGTTTTTTTTCTTCCATAAAGTCTCTGGATGGAACCTTGAGGCTAAAACGAATACAAAGCAAAGAGGACAGGGACAGAGTCTCTGACCTTGGCGTTTCGTTGTGTTAGCTCCTGCTGCAGGACCTCCACCTTCCTGACCATCTCCAGCTTGTGCTCCCTGATTGCTTCATCCAATTGGCTGAGCTGAGGGGGACACGGCAGTGAGGACAGGTGATAGATGAGACGTACGTTTAATGGTGGTTAATAGAAAAGGAGGATGGAAGACGTGATGCACCAGTTTGGCTCTCTGCTGGAGCTCCTCCTGTCTTTCTTTCAGGGCGTTGTCCATGTCCAAGACCTCATGAGTTCTCTCCTCTAACTCCTTCTGGGTCTCACTGTAAATTCATGCACAGGCACACACAAATAACCTACAGCTGGATGATATGGCTGCAAAACACATCATGAGGTAAGCGTTTCATATCAGTCGATAACGACAATTAGTTATGAATTTTATGAGGTTTTAAGCAGTTATGAAGCATGGTGGGAAAACAAACTGCGTAACTCCAGCTTGGCTTTTGATTATTCTAGTTTCTTCATGACTGATTATCCAACAGATAATGTACAGTAGCCATGGAAACTGTTGTGTCGTACAACTGGGCTTTGTTTGATTCTGCATTTCATGCAACAAAAACATCCCAATGTTTCATTTTGTCTCAACAGATAAAATAAAGATGTTTTACTTTAGAAAAATCTGAATTCGTCACAGTCATAAAATATGTTTTTCACAGCAAACACACAACTAAACCTGAGAAACAAGAAAAATAAAAACGCAGGATTGCACTTTTCTGGCTGATCACCCATCTTTTAAAAGCCTGACCGATACTGATAAAAAGTCACTCAACATAGCAACACGGTTAATAAGTTGGGGTGATTCTTGTGACATGACATTGTGGGCGGGGTCAACAGTCAGCCCTCTGTCTCTGCAGAGCAAAAGGGACAGTGGCTGATTTTCAGACCTCTGCTGAGGTAAATAAAATCGCTTTCACATGCAAATATCAGCCGATCCCCAAAAATGAAGGAAATTGGGTTTGATTTAAAGCAAAGCATCAACATTGGCATTGTTTTCAAAGCAGCAGTCTTGCTGATGCGATCTTCAGTTTGTGTCATGCACAGAGGGATTTTTCCACACGTGGACTTCTCCTCACCTCAGCCTCAAACCCAGTTTCTCCACCTGGGCTTGCCGTTGGTCAGAGACGGTCTGGGTCCTCTGCAGGACGTCCTGCAGCTCCTGCAGCCTCTTCACGGCGTTGCCCAGCTCCACCTGCACGGAGTGCAGTTCACCCTCCAGGACCTTTACTCTCTGCATGCTGCAGAGCCGCTCCTCCTCACAGCGATGGAGCTTCTCTTCAAGTTCCTCAACTGGAGGAAGATGAGAGTCGATAAAGGTCAAAGTTGAGACTGATGGAGAACATGCTGAAAACGCCAGACCTTTTCTTTTTTCCGCACCGGTCCTGAATGTCTGACCTTTGGAGGTCTTGGTGATGACTTGGCTCTTGGTTCGCTCCAGGTTCTGCTCCAAGCCAACGATCTGCTCTGCCTTTGCAGCCTCTTGGCTCCTCAGGTGCTCAAGCTCCACCTCCAGCTTTTGCATCGTCAATGTGAGATGACTGCCCAGAAATATAAAGTGGAACATGAGGTAAAGATTCGAGCTTTAACTGAAAGCTTAGCTCTAAAACCAACAGAGAAAGGCTTGTGTATTTTGTCCTTTTCCTCAGCTGGAAACTAAAAGAGAACCAAAACCGTCTTCAAACAGATCATGATGTGGTTTTTGCCATAATACAAAAATTATGCATCATGATGTCATTTTAATGTATTTTAGAGCATTAGAATGAGCGTTTTATCAGGGGGATAATACAGAAAACAGGTAATATGAGGAGCTTTGTGTGATCGTAGCTCCTCTGTCTGGGACCTGATGGATTTGGAGAGTTGTGTGTTTTGTTCAGTCGTCTCCTGCAGGTTCCTCTCTGCAGCCTGGGCCTCCAGGCCTTTGCTCCTGACTTCATCTTGTAGAGAAGCCCACGCTCGCTCCAGCTGCAGCTCCAAACCAGACACCTGGACCAGACAGTACAAAGTCAGTGGTTGACTGGAACAAAAGTGCTTTTTCATTATCACTTTTGAATTCTTAATAAGATTCAAAAGTGAAAACGTGGTGAGTTTTGACAGATTAAAGGGCCAGCGTTCTATATTTTCTAGCAACACTGTGCCATTTTAGAGCACAATCAAGTAACTATGTTATCTTCAGATGTTAATAAAAATGTTGTATGTATATCAAATATGATTTCAATTTGACATTATAATTTAACACTTTAAAATTGGGCCTCTATCTCTTTAAAAACTCCTGCTTTTTCTGAAGCTCTGCCTTCAGGAAGTCAACACAACATTGCTCCTCCATTAACTCTTTAACAACGTTTTTACCAGCGTTGTACTGACCAGCTCAGCTGATGAACAGTTCTACCAGGTGTTTACTAATGTGCTGCTGGCTAGTCTGAAGGAGCTGAATGGAGGATTCAAGGGGCAGGCCTGCTCTGTGAGGCGGAAACTTGGAAACTGCAGGCAGGAGGAGGAGCTGCACCTCGAAGGCGGAGCTGGGTTGAAAATCCAAAATTCCTCAAATTTGTCAAGCCCCTTCTGAGCTTCTAACACAGGTCTGCGTGCATGCATGTGTGTGTGTGCGTGTGTGTTAGCCTGACCTGTCTTTGCAATTGGCTCTGGCTCTCCTCCAGCTCAGAGATCCGAGCTGTGCTCTCGGTCAGCATGGTCTGCTGCTGCTGCAGAGACTCCTGCAGTTGCAGGTTCTGCTCAGTGGTGCTCTGACAGACCAGGCTGGTGCTGTGCAGCTTCTCCTGCAGACAAGAGATCTGAAAAAGCAACGAGGAGAGAGGACAGGTGTGTGTTTAACTGCCTTGTGCCCTGATAAACCAACTGACAAACGTTTTCAGTGTGGACCTTTTCGTTCTTCCTCTGCAGCTCTGTCTGATGGTTTCTCTTCACCTCCTCCATTTGCTGCAGGTACGAGTTCAGCTCCTCCTTGCACATCGACAGGCAAGACTGCAGCTCAGATACCTAAGCGGTGGAGAAACACAAAGCGGGTTATCGATGGTGAACACAACATCTTTTTACTCGTGGCTCCTGTAAATGATAAAACATTCCCTTCTGAAGACATGAACTAGAAGCCTAAAGATCCACCTGGAAAGTAAAATTGTCAGATAGATGGATGGATGAAGAGATGAACAAATGGAAACTTTTAGACATCCTACTAGGGAGCACGATTTAGAAATTTAAATTTTCTTCCATGTTTACCCAGTCATAAAGAAAATCCTAAACATACTTCTTGTGACTTTTCCATGTTGTGTTCATGGCTCCTGTACAAACCATGGTGGCAGATTGAGTAGCCTGATCTTTGAAACTCTGCAGCATCTCCTGGTTCCGTTGAACTTCAACCTCCTTCTCCTGGAATGAGGAAACAGAACATTTCATCAACGTATAAACTCCTCTGACCCGTCCCATATGAGAATGGAACCTACATGCTGACTTGCCTGTGTGAGCTGATCCACAGAGGTCTGCAGCAGCAGCGCAGCTTTCTGAGCTTGGTCCCGTTCCGTCTGAACAGAACCCAGCTGCTGCTCCAGTTCCAACATCTGGCTCAGGCTCTCCTCCACTGACAGCTGCAGCTACAGGAAGTCACAGAGCCACTGTTAGCTTAGCTGATGCTGCTGTCAAAGGAACTGATGAGTTTATGTTACCATTTCTATCCTGTGCTGTTGCTCAGCCATCTGCTGAGAGTGAAACTGTTCACACTGATCCAGAGACTTCTGGTGCTCCTTCTGCTTTTTGCTCAACAGAGCCTGGTAGTGCTGAACGCTGCTGCTCTTCTCCTGTAATGAGATCAGAGCCAGAGTCTCTAGCTGCCTTTCCATTGCAAATGTGTACAAAACATATCTTTGTCTATATTCTGCTTATGATGAAAAACCATCTGCAATTGCGGAGTTTCCATTAAATAAGAAATTAAATTCATTTGTGATTAGCTTGTTTGTGCGATAAGTTATTAAAACTCGTGTGTTTTATATATGAGATATATTCATAATTCAGCCATGGCGCTAGTGCTCTATTAGCCAATGAGAGGAGACGTCGGCGACTTATTGAGCCGTTGGAACTGTAAGCCCCGCCTACTCGGGCATTTTGGGGAGACTTTAGTCTATGATTTTACAGAAGACCTGTGGATTCAACACGTTGGAATGATATACAACTTTTTATCAACTGTGTGATGTTGTGAGAGAACTGGTGGAGCCAGCATCATCCTCCTACAACTTCCTGTCGTCTTCTTCACCAGTGGTAACGTGACACAAATGATGCGGAAAAACTTATTTTTATTTCCGTTTTGCAAATTTCACCTATTTTTATACGGCAAAAAAAAAAAAAAAAGCCACCTCATTCTGGCGCAAAAAACTTTTTATTGAAAAAGTGATTATTTTTTCTAAATAGCCGTGTTTCCATTAAGCAATTGTATTTTCATACTTTTAGTATGCACAATTTTCTGGCTAATGGAAACACAGCTTCAGGCGCACGGCTGATGAAGTTAGTTAAACGTTTGAGTGGCTGTACCTTCAGCTCGTTTTCCAGCTCCGTGTTCTTCAGAGCGGCCAGACTGTATGCAGAGCTTTTTTCCTGCAGCTGTTTCTCCAGTGCAGCAACCCGAGCGCTTTTTCTTTTTAACTGAGGGAAAGAAAAAACATTAGAAACATGCATATTAAAAAAATATTAACAATTATTCCTCTTTTTTTTATTTCCAAAACTTTCAATTTTTTTTCCTGGCGTCAATGCTTTAGAAAAGGGTCACCAGCATGTTCAAGTTATAACTATTAGACAGAGCACCACCAAGACCTAAACATGCCCATACCTGGAACAGAGCTATGTGACAATGTTTACTCTGAGGAGTGTGTGGTGGCCAGAAGGCTATAAAAGAGATGCTGTCCAGCGATCGGAGGGACTTCACTATGACTGACCAAGATTTCCTTTGCAATTCGGTTGTGCTGACATAGACTGCAGTTTGTTACAAAACTTTGTGTTCAACCAAAGTCCAGCCTTCAGGGCCTTATTCCTGAAGCATCACCACACCAGCATCTTCAAGGCACTGACAGAGGCACCAAAGTATAACTTTGCACTTTCTATCTATAGATTTTTTTTTTTTTTTTGCTTTGGATAAAAATATTAGAATCACTGTCAGTATTTTCCTGTTTTGAGAAATATCTAGCTACAGTTTTGGCTGAATTAAGATGTGAATGAGATCATTAGCATTACATATCACTGCTGTCGGCTTTCGGGGACCTTGTTCCTTAAAAGGAATGCTACTATGTATATGTATATGTGCTGCTCAGACTTATTATATCTCTGATCATCTTTAGTTTCACTCCAAAGGCCTGAGGAGCAACAGTGAGAAAGCATAGTGACCTCTTTCTGAGCGTCTGTGGCCTGGCTGCCCCGCTCCAGCAGCTCTGTGTGGAGGTTCTGGTAGTGGGAGGCTCTCTGGGCCATGGAGTTCTGCAGGGCGGAGATCTCCTCCTGGGCTCTGCTCAGACGCTCCTGCAGCCGCTCCTTCTGGTTTTGCTGTTTCAGCCGCTCGGCCTCCTTCACCTGCAGGACCCGCAGCAGCTGCTGGTAGCCCTCACCTGGAAGCAGTGGCACATGGAGCGTTATCCAGCAAACCACCGCCTGGACACTCTGGTGACCCTCTGGATTACTGGGATGTTACTTTATCTCTTTTAAAGATAAAGTAATTACCTGCTGTTGTTAGCAGGTAATTTGTATGTACAACTCTAAATCTGCACGGTTGGATCATGTGACTTAGCATTATGACAAAACAAGTTCTCCATCCATCCCAAACTTTTCCTTTCAGCCATTTATCCATCGAGTTACCGTTTAAATAAAGATCATAGAGCACATAAAACCCAAACAGTCTGTCATTGAACTAAAACAAAACAAAACAAAAAAAACTAGGAGTGCGCCAACAAATCTCCTCTGATTTCCTTAATATTCTAAGTTCAAACTGGAGATGGAAGAAATTTTAAATATAAACAACAACCATTAAAAACAACAAAAAAAAAATTCCAAAAAAATGGAGATCAGGTGATACATAACTGTGAAATCCATTTTATTTACTTTCGCAAATATTTTTGTTTCGCAAATATTTTGGTGATCGGCCGGAAAACTGAACTCGGTGCATCAGTAAAAATGACCAAAGTAGTTTTCTTCTAGAATAAAATGATTGAAGTAAGAAAGTTATGACTATAGTATTCCTGTTTCACTCTTAAAGCTAATGTTTAGCTAATTCAGAGCATGCATAAAAAAAAACTTCATGAAGTTAATAATAATTTCATCTTTTATTGCAGTGCTATGACCTCACTGACATTTCTACAAAATTCTACATTTAAGATAATCTATTCAGTATGGAATAAAATCTTTTTTAACATATAAATAGCTGCATTACAGCTCATAATGCAGCTATTGGCATCTCTGATAGTCCATCTAAAATAAATATAGGGAACGGGATGCACCATATGCCATCAACATAAGTATCAGCCGGCATTAGTCAACTTTTAACATGCTGGTATCGGTCCAATACAAAAAACTGGGTTGATTTTAATAACCGATGTTCATTTTCATCTGGTTATGTTGTATTTATTTGCTCATGTGATGCTGATGCATTGTGGGATTGAGGTGTGTTTGATATAAACAGAGAAGCAATATAGCTGGTGAAAACACACAACAACATTAATGTTGGATATTTATTTCAGAACAATTTATTCAATTCTAAAGGCAAGGATTTTTTTAAATTACCAATTACCAACATTTTAACGTTTTATTTCAGTCTAAGGAAGCGTGTGGAAGTTAGATTCCATAAAACGCAAAATGTATTTCAAAGTTATTCGTCAAAACGAGTGATGGGTCAACTGCTCCTAAACGGTTTGTCTACTGCTGTAAAACGGAGGAAATGATGAAATGGTTTAGCCTCACAGTTGATGATGAAGGATCTGCAGCCTACCTGGCTTCAGCTTCAGCAGATGTGCAGCTCCTGAATAGTCCATTGGGGGCAGCATGCATGGATTAGAGCAGATTGATCCTACAGGAGCCTTCATGAATTAAAAAGCAAAAACAGAACACTGAAGCTCCCTCCCTTCAACGGGATCAGCAATCAAACACACAATCAGGTTTGTTATTTTTAGGTCGACTCCTGGATCAAGGTTTGGACACCAGATGATATATGTGGAAACAAAACTCAGCCTGTGGGTGGCAGTGGAAAGCAGCCCCACCTCCTGCAGGTGCAGCAGAGCCAGAACAGCCTCCAGAGCGGACAGCTCAGCCTGGGTCTGGGTCACTTTCTGCTCCTGGTCACGGGTCAGCGTCCGCAGCTCCTCCACCTCCCTGCGCACGGCGGCCGCCTCCCTGCACTCGGCCCCCTGTTCTGAGAGCTGCTGCTCCAGCTGGGAGGCTCTGTGCTCGGCCTGCTCCAGCTGGGCCTGGAGGAGAGCCGCAGCCGCTCCGCCCTGCCTCAGCTCCTCCTGCAGCTGGCTGCGTGGAAAACAAAATGTTGCCGGTGAAGTGCATGCTGGGAAAAAGCCTTCTTTGAGTTTCTACTCAACAGAAGATGCTCAGTACCTAACCGTCTGGCTCTGCTCAGCTCGCTCTCTTTCCAATGCAGAAAACTTCACCTCCAACTCCTGCTTTTCTCTGTCAGACTCCATCAGACTCTTTTTCAGCATCGTCTCACTCTCCACCACCTGGAAGGCGCAAAATGACAAACCGTCTCCAGCGTCAACAACTAAGAAAAGGTTTTTAGTTGTCATATAAAATAAGAAGACAATTTTGAGTACAAATGTACCTTTTGGAGTCTAATGGAAAACGTGTCTTTGTAATCGTTGAAAGCTTCTTTGAGTTTCTCTGCATTTTGAAGAGCTTGGTTCCTCTGCTGCTCCGCTCTGAGAGGAGATCAGGGGTTCCCAGACATGTAACCCCAAAGAGGATTAACTCAGAAAATGAGAGAAAATATTTAAAGCAACATCGACTTTCACAATGTTTTTTACCCTCTATTGATTAATTATTACATTTATTTAGCAGAAATGCTGCCTCATAGCTTTGACTGTGAGTTCTGTGGAAAAAAATGTAATTACCAGATGATACAATTTTGTCATCACAATCCACTCTTTTGATTATAAGATGATATGTAATATTTACTATTGATCAGATCAAGAGGCATTTCATACCGACAATTCTTAGGGCTCTTTGCAGCAGGCTGTTGGATGATTCCTTTGTCAGATATTTTTCAATTTCTTGCTTGCTAAGCAAACAGAAGCTTGACTGGCAGCCAATCAGACAAGGAGCATTACAAATAATGTTCAAATCAATTATTTTAACTTATATTCTATACTTACAAAAAAATATTGAATAAAAGAAAACAAAAAATATGAGGAAAATTTTAAGATTAATTTGTTTTTCTCTCCAACTTTCTAAGGCCCTCACAGTACATCCTGTCAGCCACCGAGGGGCCGCGCCCCACGCTTTGAAAAACACTCCCTCGTACTCCCTCGTTTCCATCCAGGTGGAAGCAGGTATGAAACCACCACCTCTTTCCTGTTGCTGTTCTGCTCTCCAGCTCCTCTCTCAACATCCTCAGCTCCTCGGTAACCGTGGCGACCACAGCCTCACTGTGAGCGGCAGCTTCCTGGCAGGACTCCGCCCTCAGCTCCGCTGCCCTACAAAACATGGACGATGCAAACGGTAGAGTTTACACTAAGCAAGTCAGGCGTTAATGAATAAATGGTGGATTATTTCTCTTACTTTTTGTGGCATTTAGAAAATAAAAATAATTCTAGCTGACCTAAAACAAGAGACGTTTGCTCTGATCTAACTTTAGACGTTCATGTCTCTATGTAAACTTCTGATTTCCAATGTACAAGAGATTTCTTTTATTACAAATCAGAAAACATCTCCTGGAAACCAGCTTCTTCTAAGTCAAACGGAGCCTTTTCCAAACTCATGGCCCATGGGCCAAAACTGACCCATCAGAGCAATTTCTGTGGCCCTCCAAACATTGGAGGGCCACAGAAATTAAACTTTATTTGTCAAATCAAATCAAACCGTCTTATTTGCATAGTGTCAAATTATATCATTGACTGAAAAACATAGTGTCATGTTAAAATTATATATAAAGGGTGCTCATCAAATGCAGAAAAAGCATAGTGACAATTGACAAAATTCTTCTCAGAGAGTTGTGAATGTCCCTTCATGGCCCTTGTGGCCAAAACGAAAATGATTTTGACTCCCTGCATTAGAACAATGAGCTTACTTCAGTTCCTCAGTCTGAGCCTCCAGCTCAGCTTCCAGCTGACAGATGTGTTCGCTCATGGCCGCCATGCTGCTGCTGACCATGACCCTGGAGAGGCTGTGATGGACCTGCCAAAGAAAACACTAATGTATCATTGCAACCATGGAACCGAAGCCCGCTTCTCTTTTCTTTTCTGCATGCGTTTGCGTGAGGGGGGTTTAGATGGGCTGGATGCATGTCCAACCTGCAGGTCAGAAGCTTCTGGGTCAAACTGCGGGGCGTCCAGGTCGCTGCAGAACCGCCCGTCTCCGATCAGGCAGGCGTTCTCCTGGCGAATGCAGCCGCCTTTCTTTTTCGTATCAGCAGACGCCATTCTACAGGCTGGACAGAGAGGCAGGAACATGGAACATTCAATTGTTTTGAAATCTAAAAATAGATATAAAATTGTGGTCCTTTACAAAATATATATATATAAATATATATAGTACATTTTCCATGTTTTGTCAAACATAAAAGATGACAAAATCTTAACATTTTCAGGTCTACAGTTTTATTCAGGTGAACTAAGGGTAGAAAATGGCTTGTAGGCTCTGATCTGTATTAGAAAATCTCAATAAAACAATATTTTGTCATAACTTTACAAAATGTGAAAACCTTCAACGTCAATAAATAACTAGATACAGGTAACGTTGTACATTTCTCCCCAATTTCTGCATCGTCACAGTAATTCATTCAGATCTAATTCTGCTGTATCTAAACCTCTGATCTCCACTTTGCTCACCTTAGTGTGTCTCTCTCAGTTCTCTGGATCAGACTCTGCAGGCTGAAAGCATCTTTGCTAAATTTCTCCTCGATGTCAAACATCAGAACAGAGCCGCCTGAATGTCTCTAAATAACGACCAGTCTGACTAAAGTCAATTTTATCCAGCTCTTTGTATGGCTACATGTCTAAAGTCGAAACAAAAAGAAATCTCCCTTTGCGATTCTATACGAACACCTTGCTGCCAATAAACGACACTAACATGAATGTAAACAGAGGAGCTCTTTACGCCAACAGGTGGTTAGCTAGTCATTAGCCTCGTTTTTCTGTTATAAAAGCAGTTAATTAAATATCATACATCATTTCCACTTCATATGAACTATTACCTTACATGACCGGAGGACTGGAAGCTAAAAGCATTTGTTTCTGAACTATATTTCAATAAATCTCTCGGGTTACTAGAAATCGAGGCAGAACGGTTTGTAATTTTAGTCTCCGCCCACAAGCCAACAACGTACTTTATAATTGGATGGCGAAGCCATTCTGGGAGGTGATTGGTTGATGTGCAACAGCGTCCGCACAACGGTGCGTGTGTTGGGGTGAGTCGTTTTTCTTTCGCCGTCACATAGTTATACGCGGAAGTCAGGGAGGAGTGAAAGGTTTATTTTGAGGGAGCTTCCTCTGCCCGTACACCGGGCAGAGGAAGCGCAGACTGTGGCTCATTTGTTCAGCTTTGTGACGGAACCACAGCGCCACCATTACTGTTTACATACAATTACACGTTACTATGCTTGTCTGACACTGGGATTATCACTTGTAAAATCAGTTTCACTCACTATTATATTGCACATACATTGTAACTCATTATCTTATGTATACGAAAATGTATATTCTGCATGTTTTTATTTAAATTTTTTTGTTGTTACATTTTCATAAGCTTTGTTTTATATTCTCTATTTTATACCTAAACTTTACATTTCTGGTATCCAGTGTGGGCAGTAAAGTAAGAATTTTATTGTTCAGGGAAACGCATTTGTTACTGTGCATATGACAATTAAAGCATTTAAACTTTAGCACTAAACAAGCATCAATATCAGAAAAAAATCTACGGATTGGCAGAAAGGGTTTGGGGTTTTAATTACAAATGTGATCTTTTTAAGGAAAATTAACAACAACAAAATATTTAATACATTCAGTAAGCATTTTTGCAGCAACAACCCAAATATGTCAATCAGCCACATTGAGTTGCACCCATTGTTCTTTTCTCCAGGTGACAAATAGCTCACACCCAAGGAGAGGAGTCCAAATAAAAGTCTCTCATTCTGCCACTTTGCATTGATTAAACTCAAATGTTCAAACCGAAAAAATAAAATAAAATGTTTACATTTAGTTTCCGCCTGTCGATTTACAAATGACAAGATCATTTACAGTCATGGATTGTAATTTTATTAGAAAAATCATATACAGTTAATATCAGTGATAAAAAAAAAATCATGTTTCGCAAAACCGCTTGAAATACGAACTTTTATTTATCCCTAAACAAAACAAAACAAAACAGAAAAAGAACCTGCTTCACTAGTAACACGTCAACCAGTAAAAGAAAACAAGACAACGTTACAGGGACGTTCTTTGGCTTAAGAAACCTGTAGCAAGTCAATAATGGAAACATGTCGGCAGTAAATGCACTCACCGCGTCCCCGACAAAGAGACGTGCAAGTGTTGCTTAAATGAGAGCAGAGACATCTCTCAAAACAGACAACAGTTCTAACTAAAGGTTTTCTTCTTGCAAAGATGTACAGCAATTTCTTCAGTGAGGCGGATTCTTCTTTCAAACCCAATTTAAACAAGCAGTAAACATAAAAAACAATAAGCTTATATATGTGTAATAATGACAAAAAGCTAAGAGAAATCAACATGGCCAACAGAAATATGATCCATCGCAAAATCGGCTTAGTTACAACGGCTGGGCTATGTGAGTAAAGTTTGGTGGTATGTCCTGAGTGGGCTGCCCAAAATGTAACAAAATTTTTAAAAAAACAACAAAAAATACATTTTTGTCTATGGAAGAATATCTGTTCATTTATGCAACTTTAATTGCATAAGCAGCAGCAAATAAAGTTACAAACTGATTACATCACATTCCTAGCATCATGAATTTTTACTAGACCAAACTCAAGTCTGTTAAACTGAAGTCCTAATTTCAATCAGAACACTTTAAAAAGAAACGCACATTTTTATTCAGTAGGAAATATATAAAAATATTGAATAAAAAATACTGCCTTGTCTGAGCAGCTCTTGCTTGTTCAAATGAGACGATTTTCTAACAAAACACAGCGTGTGCAAGTAAAGAATCAACCGAAATCTCCGTCGGTAAACAAAAGACCTCTATAAAAATATGACATAATCATGTTTGTGGTATAGCTTTATATAAAATAAACATTTGCAGCAGCGCGTTCGGTCTCTGAGTTCCTCCTGATCTGCTCACAAATAATGGAAACCAGAGCTGGCATGAGACACCAAGAGGTACAAGATGGGAGAGAGAGAGGGCACAGTTGGAGAAGAAACAAAAACACTAAACATTTAAAACGAGTTCAAGGAAAAAATGTAATGTTACAATTAACGATGGTTGAATCAAAGAATGAAAATATAGAGATCTTTTCCCCTCTTTTACTACTTAAGTTGTTGTAGAACAAGCAAGTATAATTAGGGGAAGGAAAAAAAACACAATGCATGAAATATTAGTCAAAGCTTACATGTAGAGTGGAGAGAGGAATTATTTGCCCTTGAATAACTGCAGCAGGGAAGGAAAAAGTTCAGATCAAACTCCTCTGAAGGATCCAGTGATCCAGTTTCTCGGTGCTTCACTGTTGGAGAACATACCCTGTGTGTGCGTGTGTGTGTGTGGGTGTGTGTAGGTGTGTGTGTGTTTGTTTGCATGCATGGATGATAATCAGGGCATATAACCACCTAACGCTCTCAATACACACCGTCAGCTCTTTGTTAGAAGTGGTTGAGCCATCGAGCTACGAGGCAGTGACTCCTTCCCACTCCACCAGGTACTGCACCTTGCCGTCCATGGTGACCCGCCGGGCCAGGACTTTATATCTCTCCCCGCACGCCAGGCGCCCCGCCACCCCGAAGTAGTTGCTGATGGAGCTCTTGAGGTGGGAAAGCTGGGTGTTGGGGTCCATGCCGTGGACTATGTCTGTGGGGTGGAGCCCCGGCAGGGCGCCAAACGTCTCCGTGTCCGAGATGTTTGCGTCCGGGAGCCGAGGAGGAGGGGGCAGATCCGATCGGGGGGGCTTCGGGGTTCGCCGCGGCCGCCCGCGCTTTCGTTTTAAAGGTGGAGAGGCAAAAGGCATGTTGAAGGCGGCTGTTGCCGCCTTGTTGGAAGTGTACAGGCTGAAGGAACACAAGAGAAGAAAAATATGTTTTTTTAATTTGATGAGAAATCAGCAAAATCTACACTGAAAACTAGAACAATAAAAGTTTGGTTTAGAACCACTAGACTTTCTGAGGTTTATCCAGACACATAGGTTCTCTCTTTTCTTCTGTTATATGATCCTGAGAGTTTTATTTTCTGCCTCTCCATCTTTAGCTCTCAGTCTTCATGAGACGACATGATTTAAATGAAAACAAGTTGTCCAAGTTTTTTTCTCCGTCTCTTTTCTGTCCTGATGGAGTCAGAAAATCTGTATTTTCAGACTCCATTAAATGAAACACACGTTGGGACTGGTGTTACTAACTATCTGACTTAAAGGTAACTGGTTGTGCTTGAATTTATTTAGCGACATTAAAGTGAAGGACAAACGCAAATCACACTCGTCAGAGCTTGGATGCAAACCGTGCACCACTTCACTTTTTTTGTGCTACGCTTTGCTGGTCTATCACAGAAAACCCCATAAAATGAGAACATTTGTTTTATTGTTGTTTTGTGTGTTTGAGTCTCTGCCTGGAAGATCCCAGCTTAATAAAATGCCAACCTGGACTGCCTAGAAGTGACTGTTGAGGTAGTTTCTGAACTGCTGAGGGCATCAATGGATTCCACATCAGAAGACTGAGATAACAGCAGAGGCTTGCTACTTCTGGTGCTGCGGAGACAGAAAAACAATTGGAGGAAAAATGTGTGAAAAGCAGAGAAAAACTAAGATGCAATAGTGTTTTATGATCATTTTAACAAACAAGCGTTTCAATAATACCTGGTAATAAACCCTTCTTGAGACTTGGATTAAATTAAGTTAAATGATGCCACTTCCTTTCAACATTTCTTTAAATAAGAAATGCTATTAAAATCCCGCATGAAAGACTTTGTACACACCATAAATCATGAAAAAACATGGCATCCTACAATTACTTCCTGTCATTTTCTTCGTCTGATCACAGATCAGATGTCCAATTGCTAATCACATGATTTGTGTAATGTGAAACAAGAGTTTTCATTGCATAAAAAAACCCACCTCATTCCAGCAAAAAACTTAATAAACGCAAGTTCATTTTTTAAAAATGATTTCCGTTTTTCTTTAGCCCAAATTTAGTTCTGTGATTCCAATTATACGGTCAGAGGGAACGCAGCTAGTGCAGTGGACGACTTCAAGTCCCTCTCTTCTACGTTTCTTCAGTTTGTAAAGGCTGAATGTTTTGGTTAAGCTCCTGACAATGTGCAGCAGCTTTTCACACAAAAAGCCCAACAGTCATTCACTGAGCCGTAACAGGAACCTGGTATTTTTCAGTCAATCAGGCTTCACCTGAGGGACTGGTGGCCAATCTCAAATAGATGTCAATCTCAACACCAATTATCAAGTTATGAAACAGCTTCTCTTTCAATTTGGTCTTTGACTAGGCCGTTCTTCTTTTTAACCGATTCAAATATCCCCTTCAACTAACCTGCAGAAAACAGCCTCACGGCATGATGCTGTGTTGTTGTTTACGCACAGAACCTCGTTTCACACATGCAACAACGCCACTAAAGTGTCAGGTTTCAACACCAAAAAACACACAAACATTTCCCAAAAAAGAACAGAACAAGACAAGAAGTTGATCACTTACTTAACAGAGGTCAAATGATCCAGTGCAGGGGGGTCCGGCTTTCTGGTTTCCTGATAAAGTGGAGAGAAATTCATCAGCATCTACAGGAAGGAGTCACGTTTTCTTTGTACATGAACGTTTGAGCGAAAAATCATCTGTTGACTTCAGCAGAAAACACTAAACCAGATCAGGCTCATTACTGCATACATGATCTCAGAAACACACACACACCAGGGATGGCTCATTGGACCGTTGTGGTTTAGCCAGTGTCTCCAGACAGCGAGCTTCTTGCTTCCTCTTTTTCTTTTTTTTCTTCTTCTTCTTCTTTTCAATGCCATTGGTTAAAGCAACGGGGATCCTGCGGTGACAACACCAACATTTCAGATACAGTTATGACAGCTGTGCATAAATAAAGTCAGCATGACTGTTCAGGCATTAAGCATGAAACGGTGGAGGGACAT